TGTGTAGCTTTGCGCAAAATTCAAAAACAAACATTTAATATTTGTATACAAAGAATAATCAAAGTAGTAATAATCAGAAACATTAATTTTGACTATTTGATTATTTTCGTGAGTCATGACACTAATCAGTTAAGCTGAACAACCTTGAATTAATAAAAAATAATAATGAGAAACCCAATTACCAATATTGGCAAGCTAGAATATAAAATAAGAACCATCTATCTTTTCTATATACTGAGATATTTAGGAAATCGTACACAGTGGTCCTGCCCACCTTTTCTGTTTTTGGAAATACTTGCTAACATACTCTTACTTTGGTCTATCCTGCTTATAACCAATCAAAACCTCAGAATTTCCCCCCAAGTAGTTTTCTTAACCTTTTCAAGATGTGTATTTCCCAAGTTTAGTCTTTTCTTTCCAGTCTTAGAAGAAAGGGGTAAGAGAAAAATGGTGTTCAAAAAACAAAATTTTTTAGAACCAAATACAGTTTAGTTAATAAGCCTGATAAATTACAGTGGAATTATATGATATTGGTATCGTAATTTATACTTTTTTGTTATTTGAAAATGCATATGCAAAACCTAAAAAGTTATTATGTTTTACATCCTCCAATTGCAAATTTGGCAAGGGTTAGTGTGCAAGGTATGACAAGTACAAACTTCTTTACAATTGTAAGTAGTAGAGATCATTGTTTTCTGTATTTCTTTATTTGCTGTTATGACATTCAAAAATTTATTTGTAAGTAGTAATAATATATATATACATATCAATGTTCCCTCTAATTTTTTCAATCCATTTGTGGAATGAATTTTTACATGTGTACCAGTATAAATGCAATTTTCGCTACCAGATTTTTTAGGGTGTGGGGGTATTTTTAGACCACTGACCTTGTTGTATCATTAGGCTGCTTTGCAATGCTACCAGTTGGTTGTTGAAGACTTTTCGTCATTACTGAGGATGTGTGTGACTGGAGTAATGAAGTGTGTGGCACTTGATTGGTTGTTGTGTGGCTGCACAGTTTAGAGGGCACATTGATAGATATTTAGTGTATTATAACGAATGTGATTGTATTTTACAAAATACTGGTCCATTAGAACAAAGCCAAGACAGATCACTTTGTAAGTGCCAGTAGTATGCTGTTGGATATGGTAACATGAGATGCACATGTGCTATGATTGCAACTTGTGTAATATCAGTCAGACACAGCTGAAAGGTCAATAAAATAAAAATAGTAATTATAAATATATCTATAATGTTATGAGATTTAAACTATTTAGAATAAACACTTGTGGCTTCATGTTACAGTTTTTAGTGAATCTAGAATGAAAAAGCATAACTTAAGTTTTATTTCACAATTTTTTATGGTGGTTACTAGGTTGGTCAAATCAACCAAACCCTTACATAGATAAGATAGAGAAAATAACAGGTAAAATATGAAGTTTTCTAAAAAAGGTTTGATATTTATAGGTAGGTTATAGAGATTTTGTTAATGAAACTTGACAATTTTCTGATGCATAAAGGTATTTTTAATCTTAAAATCAAAATTACTTCAAAAAGAAAATATGTACAGGCAAATCTTTAATTTAAAAAGATATTTTGTGTATGAAATTCTTGTTATGTTTAATGATAATCTGCCAAATTTTGTTTCTGACTGATCAGTTAGAACACCAGTATCCTTTCCTTTGATAACAATGTTAAAATTATTCTCATCAAAATTATACTTATAATTCAGATTATGATATTCCAGATGAATCACCTTGTATTTATTATAGTTAAAAGGCATCTGCCATTTATTCGCTTCACTGACTTTATAGTAGAAAGCAAAGGATAGTGATAAAATGGGTATATTTTGTGACAATTTGAAAAGTATTTGTAAATCACTAACACTAAAATTCTGGGAATGGATGTTACTATTGTGAATGTTTCTGTTATTCAGAAGATTCAGAATAATCTTAGTGATTGTAGCAAAATGTGGAAGATAAATTGAATATTGAAAGGTTTAAAATTATGCACTCGGTGTATGAAAGTTTGAATAGTACCTGCTTCTTGCGAGAGAGGAACTGGTCTTGTTGAAAAAGAGAGGACTGAAGTGTGATTGATAGTAAAATCATAAAGCCTTCATTTACAAGCAATAAATTTTTCAACTGCTAAAATGTTTATTTTTTTCTCTGAAGATAGATAAAATTAGACAGTGGTTACAAAACAATTCTTTTTTCATAGTAGTAGTAGTATTACTTCAAAGTATTTATGTCAGTATCACCATTTAGGTGATCGTCTAAGTTCTCATAACAAGCATCTGTAGGTTCAAATCTATTAAGGACTAGAGCTGAATTGATTAATCAATATAATTGAGAACCTCTAAGTAGCAATTATATCTATTAGTGTCATGTAAACTAATCAATCAAAATAATGATTGATTAATTGAAACTACTGGTTTTATTATTCTAACAGTTGATTAATAACTTTCATGAAATAATGGGTTTTGATTATTACTGTTTTCAATTATTCCAACTAAGTAATGAGAACATTGCCATCAAACTTGCTTATTCTGTCTTTTTTATGGCAAAGCCACTAAGTGTAGCTGATAAGCAATTTTAAATTTGTAACTGACTAGAAGGATTATGCTGATTGAACGTGTCTTGATAGTTTTAACATTTTTTTATTATTATGCATCTCTGTAAACTCAGCACTCTCATTCTCACTTTGGTAAAAAATTACCCAATCTAATTTCTGTCTTACTTTGTTAATTTCTGCTCCTATTCTACTATTTTTCCAAAGCTATCTCTAACTTGTTCTCAAATAAGCAAGTTCTGTAAGTGTAGTGTACTATCTTTGAGCCTCCTGAAAGTCACAGTCAAGCTCACAATTTTCAAACATAACCCAGTACTCAAGAGAATAGTCAACATATTTTTTTATTAAATAAATCTTCATTGATGTAATTGTTATCGTTTGTTCTAGTTATGTGTTACTTTAGTTCATATTTATTGTATTCATTCAGATGAAAGTAAACATGATCAACATGGTAATAGCTCAAGCCGTTCCTCCTCACGAGCATCATCCAAAAGTGGGGATTCTTTAAAACCACTTCCACAATACCAATATACCAAGGTAAGAAGGTTCAAAGATTGTATAACTATTAAATTCTTAAGTGAGCAAAACTGTGCATTAAGCACTTTTGCTACTAGTTGGGAATAGTTAATCCTATTTGATCAAAAGTAGGCTTAAAACTTTCGGGAAAAGAAACAAATAAAAAGTATATAAAATCCTGTACTACAGTTAAAAAGATTATGTAAATGTTAATATAGAATACATCTTGTTTGTTAACAAAATATTTCACATTAAAAATTACAAAATTTCATTATCAATTTTGCTGACAAATAATTATTATAAAAATTGTTACTTTATGTGACTTTGCTAGAAGATCTATGAAGGCTGGATATATTATAAAATGAAAATATTACAGCAAATTGAATTAAAAAATAAACAGAATTAGCAGTAAATTAAAAATTTGGTGTAATTATGTCTATAGTTGAATTTATGAGACAGTTCTATATGGGCTGTTCAATACAACTTGGGTCAGAATTATTCTCTTGGTCTTCTCCTATGCTTTTTTGATAACAACATGTTTTAACCCTATCGCCATGGGTATCCTTTATCGTGCATGACACAAAATTTTAGTTTCTTACATTCAACATTTTATTAAACTACTTTTTGTTTATGTTATACCAATTAGTATAGCATAAAATCTTAGCTAATAATCCATATTTTAATAGTATATAATTTTTAAGTTTTTAATTATATAAGGCAATATTTAAAAAAAATCATAAATTTCCCCTAGTGTGACATGTGACTTTTTTCTAGTTATGTTCTCTATTTTATCCACCACCCATTCAAAAAGTATGAAATGAAATGTAAATTACTCCCTATAAAATTGATATTGCTCAGACAAACCATAAAGTTTAGTTATATATTACCTATAACCAACAGAAAGTCAAGGTTTTCATCTATCAAATGACATATTTTATAATTTTGTTCTGAACAGAATATTGCCAATTTCACTCAGAGTACAAGATTTGTTCCCATGAGACAGTTAATGACTAGCTTGGATGAATTTGTAACAGCTCTTGTTGTATAGTTAGAAAGCAAGAAAAATTTTGAGAGTTAGGAGAAATTTGTCTAATTTTTTGCATGTTATTCATCTATGTTCTTTGGTGCATTATTTAATTAAATAGAAATTTAGTGCATTACTTCCATAAGTATAAAAAAAAGTTGGGTTAATTGTAATCGACAGCAAGAAAAAAGAAGATTTGGTAAGTACCTTATTTCTTGTTTTTCGTGTTTATTCTTTATTTATTATTATAAAAGTAATTAAAACGTAAAAATATAGTTCTTTCTAGATTAGTTAAGATTAAATTAGGTAAAATAAATAATAATAATATAATAAAAATGTTTCACAAGGTATGCATGCAAGCAGCTCATAGTAGCTCGTGGGTAATGTAATTCGATAGCGTAACGTGAGCTGCATGCTCCCCAAGTGATTTACAAACTACAATGGCACGAATGACACAGTTCAATAAAACAATAAAACTTAATAAAAATTTATGTATAATTTTATGAACTTAGACTTACTTAGGATAAACAAATGTAGTTTCATGTTACAATTTGAAGTCATACCCAAATGAAAAAAAAAGGTAATTTAGATTTTCTTTTTTTTTGGGGGGGTTGTTATGAGGTTAGTCAAATTGACGTAGGGTAGAGAAAATAACATATACAATATAAAGTTTTACTGAAAAAAATCTGTTAGAAATGTTTTTAGATGGTTTTAGGGATTACACAAAGGAAATTTGAGATGAAGAAAAGTATTTTTAATCTTAACATGAAAATTACTTTGAACATGGACTATTCAAAACAAATATCAATATATTCATGAACAAATCTTTATTTTAGTTTATTAAAAATACTTGACTAAAATATGATTTTTTATATGTGAAAGACTTATAATGTTAACTGAAAGACTGTCAAGTTTTGTGAAGATTTACACACTATATTGAAAGTTAGAAGTATTAAATCTATAAAGATTTTAAATGAGTACAAAGAGGTCAGTCAGATTGACCAACCCTGTGTTGAGAGAGTTAAAGAGCAGATTGTAGAATGAATAAGATAAGTATTGTTTACTATTTTTTACAACATTTCCTGGCTTTAATAAATATTTATTAGAACAAGCAGTTGCAAAGTGAGAGGTGAATTCACAACTATTTTAGTAGCAAAAACAAACATGGAGGAGAAAGATTGCATAACTAAAGGTTAGGGTAACTTGACAATCAAACGATAAATATTTAACATGGAGAACTTTTTTCAGTCAACATTGTAATATACATGAGAAAAAAATCCATTTTGGTTGTACAGTTCAAACCTTACTATAAATAACATTGTAATATAATTGTGTAATTTTATACTTTTATGTAATTTGTCATTTCCCAATGTTAGAATATTCATGTGATGTTGTGCTAAGTTTTGAATGAAACTTCCACTTCTATATGTATTAAAATATACTGCACAAGTCTCTTATAAATTATCTTTTCTTACATTAATTTTATGTCTTCTTTTAACACTTGCTGTGGGCATCTTTTTCTGTGCATGTCATGAGGTTTTAATGTGTTATATTCAAATTTTATTAAACTACTTTGTTTTCATGGTAGATGATTCAATTTTGCATAAAAATTGAGCTAATAATCCAATTTTTTATAGTATATAAGACTTAAGTTCTTAATTTTATATGGCAATATTAAACAAAATCCCGAATTTACCCTAGTATAAGAATTGTGACAATTTCTCTCCAGGCATACCCTCTTTGATTTATTTACCACCCCTACAAGAAGTATGAAACTTAAAGTAAGTTACTTGTTATAATGTTGTCATCACTCAGGCAAATCATAATTGTATAGCCTTCAGTCTTTAGTTACATAACCATCAAATAGAAAATCAGACCCTTCTTGCCACACTTACCTGTGACATCCTTTGTTTCAGAAATTGCCAATAGTTTTCTCTAACATTTAATACTATATTATTTATAACCAATAGAAAGCCAAGGTTTCAATCTATCAAATGATGTATCATATTACATTTTCTATAAAGAGAATTGTTTATTTTGCTTTCAGTTCAAACATTATTCTCATTGGATACATGTCAAGGAGCTTTAGTTCAGTTGCATAGTTCGAAAGCCAGACATATTGTGATAGCTATAGGACTTTGTCTGTTTTTGCAAGTGATTATCCTGTGTTCTATGGTGGATTATTTATATAAAGAAAAAAAATTAGTGCAGTAGTATCATTAGTATAAAAAACGTATTGGTTAAGTGTTATTGACAATCAACAGCAAAAAAGAAAAAAGAGTTGACCCAGGTAAATACTTTTTTTAACTTGTGTATTCTATATTTATTATTATAGAAGTAACTCAGATGTAAAAATTAGAAGTTTTTTATGTTAGATAAGGTCAGATTAGGTAAAATAATAATTTTTCATGAGTATCTCGTGTTATGTAATTTAACAGGGTAATGTGAACTTGGTGTTTGTCAAGTGATTTACTGATTTTATGGCAGAGTATCAGTTAGATATGGTTGTAAGGGCAATAAAACTATATCATTTAAATATAGGCAGATTTATAGTTACAACTAGAAAGGAAAAAATCGTAATTTAGATTTATTTAATTTTTTATTTTAATTTTTATGGTAGGTAACCCTTTTGCAATAGGCTCGATATAATATACTAGGTCGGAAACATATTTGCACAAGTTAATTTACAATGTGCATCTTCATAAAATTTGGTATACCTTTAGTAGACATTAAGTCTTTTGTACCAAAAATTCAAATTTTTTAATGAAGTATTTTTACTAACGATTTGTTTGTGAATATATCGAGTCTGTTTTGTTACTAGTTCGAGTGGAAGTGATTTTCACGTTATGATTAAAAATACTATTCTTCATCCAAAAAATCACAAATTTCTTTTGTGTAATCTTTAAAACCACCTAAATACATTTCAAACATTTGTTTTCAGTAAAACTATATCTTATCAATTATTTAATGAAATACTTGAATCTTCAGCATGTAGACAAATCTCAAAAGTATAATGAAAAGACAAGTTGTAAAATTAGAAATAAACGGAGCAGCTGTGCCTTTTTGTCGTTATTATTGGTCACAAAGTTTCAAAGTACTTCTGTTATGAGTTTGAACTACTAAACATTTCACATTTATTTTCTGTGTTTATTTTACTGTCAACAACTAAAGTAGAATCCCGCTGAAAATAAACCAGTAAATCGCTGCTTGTGTCAGTAGACTGTCTATATGACACCACCATAATATGATACTCCTGAGAGAAACAAAGCATGCACAAAAAAGATTGTTGATTCGATCCTGGCTCCAAGAACAGGATGTCTATTGTATCAGATCATGTATACTAAAATGTTTTATTTTTTTGGGAAAATTCATAGTAATCACACAGCACTTGAATCAGTGAAAATGTTTATGCCAACAACAGGATGTGTAATTTATTACTTATGTATGTATCCCTACAGTGTTCACAACAAGACTTTTCTAGAGTAACAACACTGCACTTTGAATCTGTCCAAACTATTATTATTGAGGTTTATTGCCGATACAATAAACATTCCAATTTTTTGAATGTTGGTAATCCTTTTGGGGTGTTTGGAATTTAGTGGCATACGTATACAAAGATGTTATTTGAACACATGCTTATAATATCCTATTTTCCTTTTCAGTACTTATTCGTCAATCAATAAAAACTCTTAGTTTTGGTGCTAATTATCACACTTATTTAGTTTCGCAAGCCTTATAAGTCTAATATTCTTTGGAAGACATTCTTACTTTTGTAGTTTAGCAGTTCCCTTATAGTTGTGAAACACCTTGAGTTGTTACTGGCTGTTACCTTAAAGTAAGTAATAATCATTTATATATGTATATATATGTGTGTGTGTGTGTGTATATATATATATATATATATATATATATATACACAGAATCAAACACAAAGTAAAATCTAACTATATTATCAATATTTTGCAAACTACAATATTTAGGCTACCATACATTACATATATACATATATATTTGCTCATAAATGCTTACATTTTAGTTATTTTTCTTGAAACATGAACAATAAATGAAAGTTACATTGAAAAACAATGATTTCTAGTAGTTATGAGAAATTACGGTGATAGGAAAATATTTTGCTCTTGTTTGACTTTAGTGCTAAGCCTCTTTTATTCTTTCAAGTGGAGGATGAAGAAATATAATTTTTGTAGGCTTCATGTATACATTTTAGGAAGAAAAAAATATATTACGTTACTCTATTAGTAAATGCAAAACATCTGTAATATGCTTGGGTTTATAAATAAAGTATATATGTGTTTAAATAATTATTTTCTCTTCCAAGCTCTTTACAAACAACTGTCAGAATCACATAAAGCACAGCTTGTCCTTTCTATTGGTTATAAACAGACCCTTAAGAAAAGTAGGTGAAACTAAACAAGAGGTTTGGAAAGAATAGAGTAGGAGGAGGTGCCATTGATTTCTTAGCAAATCTAAATGGTGGAGGTCCTAAATTTATACTCTAGCTTGCAAGTATCTAAAATTCATGTTTCCAATTTGTAACCACTGGTAGACGTATATAGTAGGCGTAAAAAAAAATATAAATTGAGCAACAAGACGTGAGGAGGTGATATGTGACACACAAATTGATAATTAGCTTTATTTTATTTATATCTCCTTTTGAATTAAGAAATTAAAGCATACATAATATTAAAATTTGAGATATAAGCAATATTTTGATGGCAATTTCATTGATATGTAGTAATAATAAAGTTACTTAATAAAGTTTTGAAAATAACTCTCTTGCAGACCGTGACATGCGCAATTGGACCCACCCATTTTGAAAAGTGACCAACCTGGTATAGAAAATAACATAAAATATAATATCATGAAAAAAGTTTGAAATTTATTTAGGAGGTTTTAGAGATTACAGAAATTAAATTTAAGATTTTTCAGATGAAGCAAACTATTTTTATTCTTAGCATGAAAATCACTTTGCTCACGGAGCAGTCAACACTTTAACTCCATATATTCACGGAGAATTTTTTAATGAAAATACTTCATTAAAATTTCTGAATTTTTGTCTTCTAATGACTCTTAATAATCACTGAAAGCTTTCAAAATTTCATGATTATACACAAAACATATTAGAAGTTGTAGTATGGAAACTATAAAGGTCAATTTGGGGTCACAAACTTGACCAAGACCATAGCGACAGAGTTAATAAAATTACAAGAATTTTTGACATTTATTCTAAGAGTTTGTGATATGATTTCTTTAATAAAATTATTACCCATCATTATCAATTTTGTGTTTGGGTTATGATTTTCAATCTCTTTTCATCATTACAACAACTATCAGAAATGCTGCTCTATGGGTGGCTGTTTGTGCTAGTAATTACTAATTGTAGTATTCATACCTCATTGAAGTAAATGTAGAAAAAGTGAACATTTTCTGGAAAGTACTGCACAGGAAAAGTGTTCGGATTGTGCTCTTTAGTCATATGCAACTCATTTCATCAAAATGATTCAATGTACAGAGCTCAAAATTTTCGTAAATGTTACTGACATAAACTGCAATGTTTATGTATATTAAAAGTGGTACCTTTTATTGAAAAAATGTTTTTTAAAACACCAGTTACTCAGTACTACATTTTATCAGTACTATATTTTATCTTAAACAAAAAAATAGATATTTTAAAAGCCCATTAAATTTATTGTAAGATGAATTACCAGAAACAGGAAAATAATGAGATGCAGTAGGATGTATGTATGTATTAGTTATTTTTATTTACTTCAAGGTTAGATGATTTCAGATTGTAACTAATGGTGGTGATATTAATGGAGAATGTTCTAAATTTTAGTAAAAAAACAGGATGAATATGTTATACAGAAGTAAATATACTGGAAATAAATGTATATGAAAACAATTCTAAATATTAATATAAATTTATAAAACTGTAAACAAATTAGCAAAATAAGTTTGTTTGGTATGTCTACTTCATTGGCTGGAAAAAGAGCCAAAAGAATATACATTCCACAAATTAATGGGACAGTAAATATTTATGCAATTCAATTGTTGAAAGAGTTTACTGCTGTTCAAATCAGTATTTTGAGCTTAAAAGTTTGTCATAAATTATTGATTTTCTATTTTATATGTCTTATTCTTTATAACAAAAAATTATATTAGAGTACAACTTTTCAGCTTTATCATGATGTTCAACAACTTTCTCTTTCTCTGCTGTTTTAATATATTTGTTTAATTTTGGTGCTGTAATTCATAGGATGAACTCTTGGGAATCTCAAAATCTGAAAGTGCCAAGAAGAGACCTGAATATTTGAACCGGGATCACAATAAGTAACTTTCTATTTTTCTTTCTTTTACATTGTTGAAATGGTGATTAGATGATATTTTTATTCATGTTGTCTTAGTACTAGTTCTAGATAGATAACCACATTAGCGAGTATGTTCAATTTTTTATTACATATCCACCAACTTTGTCTTTCAAACAAGTTGTGTATGATTTTTTTTATTTTTAAGAACAAGGTTGTTAAAGGCAGTGCAACAGAAAAAATTTTTGACTGGCATTATAGAAAACCTATCAAGTAGAATACTGAATAATTTAAAGAATTATAAATTGGTCTAGATGGTGGATATAGTTTAATATCACTAAATGTAAGTAAAATTGGAGGGTTATCTAATTTTTTTCTGGTTAGTACATCTTTTTACCAGACTGTTTTCACATATATATATTAAATACATGATAAAAGCTAGGGCCCAGAGTTTAGACCAGAAAATGTACATAAATCAGTGAACAGCCTTACAACGTATCCATTTAATAATTTCCAGACAGGAAAACATTTTACCAAAACCTGTTTGTAAAATTTTTTCTAGTTTGGAAATAAATTGAAAGGATATGCTGTGAAGACTTTTCACTGATATACATAAGTTGATTGACAGTCCCAATCTAGAACTACTTTTGTTTTATATCAAACAACCCAACATTGTATAGATTTAATGTGAAATATTCTGTGTAAAATTAACCCTATCACTATGAGTATCCTTTACCGTACATGACACAAGGTTTTAGTGTCTTACATTCAAAATTTTATTGAACTACTTTTTGTTTGTTTTAACAATTAGAATAGCATAAAATCTTAGCTAATCAACCTTATTTTAATAGTATACAAGTTTTAAGTTCTTAATTCTACAAGGCAATAATAAAAAAAATCCTGAATTTCCACTAGTGTGACCCAAGTAACACATTTTCTCTTAGCATGTCATCATCCCTATTTTAACCACCACCCCTCTAAAAAGTACGAAATTAGATGTAAATTATTCTCTCTAAAATCGTTATTTTTATAGCCTTCAATTTTGTTTGGTTACAGAGCTATTGATTAGACCCCTGCTGCCACACCCACTTGTCACATCCTCTCTTTCAGAATTTGTTGATAGTTCTGTCTTACATTTCATTATATATTACCTATAACCAATAGAAAGTCAAGGCTTTCATCTATCAAATGACGTATTGTATAATGTTATGTTCTGAACATTTAGATGTCAGTTTCACTCAGAGTACTGACATTGTTCCCATGAGAAAGTTAACGACTAGCTTGAATGAATTTGTAATACCTCTTGTCACATAGTTAGAAAGCCAGAAAAATTTTGAGTGATAAGGGAATTTGTCTACTTTTTGTATGTTATTAGTCTATATTCTTTGGTGAATTATATAATTTAATAAAAATTATCAAGTGCATTTCTATCATTAGTATAAAAAAAATTAGAGTTAACTCTCTTCAAAAATCGACAGCAAGATAAAAGAAGGTTGGTTAAGTATTTTATTTCTTGTTTTTCATATTTATTCTCTATGTATAATTATAAAAGTAACTAAAATGTAAAAATATGGATACTTTTAGGTTTGTTAAGATTAGATTAGGTAAAATATATAATAATAATATAATAAAAAAATTTTCACGAGGCACACGTGAGCAGCTCATGAGTAATGTAATTTGTTAGTGTAACGTGAGCTGCACGTTCCCAGAGTGATTTACAACTTATAATGGCGTGGATAGTAGTTAGACATGGTTCAAAGGGAAATAAAACAATAAAATTTAATTATAAATACATGTATACTGTTACGAACGTGGAGCTACTTAGGTTAAACGAATATAGTTTCATGTTACAATTTGAAGTCATTCTAGAAAAAAAAATATGGTAATTTAGGTTTATTTAGATTTTTTTTATGGTTACAAGGTTGGTCGAATTGACTAATCCTGTTTTGAGATAGAGTAGAGAAAATAGCAGGTTTTCGGAATTACACAAAGGAAATTATAGATTTTTGAGATGAGGAAAAGTATTTTTAATTTTAACATGAAAAATTACTTTACACATGGACTATTCAAGACAAATACTCAATATCAGTATGGACAAATCTTTATTTTGTTAAAAATACTTCACTAAAAATATTATTTTTTGTATGTGAAAGACTTGTAATGTTAACTGAAAGACTGCCAAATTTTGTGAAGATATACACACTATATTGAAAGTTAGAAGTGTTAAATGTATAAAGACTAAACCAGTACAAAGAGGTCAAGTGGTCAGTCTGAATTGACTGAACCCATGTTAAGAGAGTTAATAAAGCAACTTCTATTAATAGATATTCAAGGATTTTTAATGATTGTTTTTAATAACTTTTCTTTTAAACTATTTAAGTTGAAGTTCATTTCAGTGTGTGACCTGACTGTCTAGTGCCATACCATGTCATAATAGTAACCCTGATTCACAGTACTTTGAGTTTTTAATGGAAAGAGAATGAATGAAGATTATATTTAATCAATGGAAAACTTAGTTATTTGAACAAAAATTGATAATTGTTCTTATCAGGATATTATTTAACCCTGGAATTATGGATTGGACCCTATTGGTTTGTTAAACACATTTTTCTAAATTATTAACTTATCAATTTGCTTATATGGTTCTGTAGTAGTAATAAAAGAATCACAGAAGTTTTTTTTTTAAACAAAATGTCATCAATATTGCAGTTAGTCTAGCTAATTTTTGGTGGGGTTTCCTAATGTATTTTAGACAGAAAAATGAGTAGTTTCTTAATTTCTTGCATGTTTTTTGCTGTCGATTTTGTAATTTGGAAAAATAAAAAATTACTATGATACAATATGTGGATCCCCACCAGAAGTGAATTTTATGTAAATAAGTGAGTACCTTGAATATTATTATTAATCTTCTTACTATGGTTATGTCAAAGTGTGCATGTCTCAACCTTTTACAGGGTTACATTCAAAATTTAATTACACTATTTTGTTATTAATATATGTTAATGAACTAAATTTTAATATTATACAAGTTTTAAGCTCTTAATATTATAAGGCAATATTTTAAAGAATTCTCAATCTTTCATAGTATGAGAATTGTGAAATTTGTTCTTCAAGTCTTCCCATTCTCTGATTTATTTACCACCCATCTGAGAAGTAAGGAAGTTAACATAAATTACTCATTATAATATAGATATTTCTAAGGCAAAGCAAAATTTTTATAGCTACTTTATTTAATTACAGAGCTATAAATTTGAAAATCAGACCCCTCTTGCCATGTCTATCTGTCACATCCATTCCCTCTCATAAATTGTAAATAATTCATTTTGATGTTTTATACTATATAATTTATAATCTATAGAAAAGCAATGTTTTAATTTATCAAATGATGTGTAATGCTACACAATGTTTTCAGCACAGTGTATTGAGAATTTCATTTTCAGTTTTAAAGTTTATCTCATGGTGTTCAGGTCAAGCAGCAAAAGGAATTAATTGAAGACTCCTCTTGTCCTAGTTAGAAAGCCAGTTAAATTGTAATAGTTACAGAACATTGTTTGCTTTGTGCTTGTTAGAATTCTATTCTTAGGTACATTATTTAAGTAAATCAAAAGTATTTAGTGTACTGGTACCATTATTATAAAATTTCATCAGTAACCAACAGCAAAAAAGAAGAGGTTAAAGGTAAATACTATATTTATTGTTTTTCATCTATGTTCTTTATTTATGGTTGTAAAAGTAACTAAAATGTAAAAATTAGAAACTTATTAAGTTAGATTAAGTAAGATAATGAAATAAAAGTAATTCTACATGTCGCTCAGTAAGATATGAGCTACGTGTTCACTAAGTGATTTACAATTTGTGTGGCAGAATTATTAATTAGACATGGTTCAAAGGTAATTAAACAATAAAATTAAATATAAGCAAATATAGATTGTTACAAGCCTTAAACTATTTAGGATAAACAATTGGAGGTTTCTGTTACAATCTGCAGTCATTTTAGAAAGAAGAAAGGATAATTTTAATTTATTTCATAATTTTTTATGGTGGTTTTAAGTTCGGAGAAACCGACCAAGTCTGTTTAGGGTTTGGGCAGAGAAAATCAAAAATATAAAGTTTTACTGAAAAAAAACTATTGATATATATATATTTAGAGGTTACACAAATGAACTTTGGAAATTTTCAGGTGGAGAAAAGTATTTTTAATTTTGACATGAATTTGGAGCAATCATCACTGATTCCATATATTCACAGACAAATTGTTAGTAAAAATGCTTAATTAAAAGATCTTTTTTTTGTGTAAAGTTTACTGAAAGCTTGTCAAGTTTCGTGGAGATACACAAAAAATATTAAAAGTTATAATATAGAAATTGGTGGTTACAAAGTAGGTCACATTGACAGACCCTGTGTGGAAAGAGTTAAGTTACATTGTAAATTTAAAAAAAGAAATTAAGCTTAGTAAAATTTCCAAAAAAATTGCCCTAATATACTGGCTTGAGTATTAGTTTTAATCGTAGTAGGTAGCTTGCTCTGATTGAAAATTAATATTAATAGTGATGATTTTTGCAGTTTATCCCAAAAAAAGTTATAAAATTTAATTATTAATGAAAAAATGAATTTTTGTTGTCGATACATATTTCTAGATTAAAAAGTATACAGAACAACAGCAGATATATATGTAAGTTGTTTACTTTTTTACCTTAGCTCTTTTGGTTTATGGGACCCATTGAACTGGTTTGCTAGTCTTCGCAATGAAGAAATTCCCCCTTCAGATAACTTCCGACCGAAAAGACCAGTGGAGCATGATCGTGAAAGTAGTGGTCCTCCAAAACGACGACCTTCAGATCCTAAAGAACGCATTAAAGAAGAGAAAGATGACATAGTTCTAAGCCCACAGCGAGGGAGTTTTGTAACAGGATGTCATGTCACCCAGCAGTCATCTCTTGTAAGAAGAGCCAGAAGCCCGCCAGATGGTCGTGAGCCAGAAAGGTTGTGTATTTCATTTATTTATATTAATTGACCTTTCAAAAATTAAATATGCATTGTTTGTTTATCTTTTAAACAATTGAGACACTTTGTAGATTAGTTTAAGCATTTTCAAAGGGTGGGTCTTTTCTTCATAGAGAGCAGTTTATTTTTAACAGTTTGGTTTTCAAAAGTGTTGTTGTTTGTGCATTTAAAAACTTATAAACGGACTTTCTTTTTTGTCAAAAATACTTTTTATTAAGGTTGTTGGTGTAAATAAAAGATGTTACTCTTGTACATTGTATTTTTACACCACTCATGGGTTATTAATGGGCTTAACATTAGCTGAATTAATCCACCCATTCTACATCATCTAACACATAAAATAAGAGCACAATGTAAGATGTTAGGATCATATTTCATAAAAAATTATATAACAAACAACTAATATCTAAACAGTATTACTTAACTAGTGGTATTACTCAAGCCTTGCTCAAAATATAAAATACGCTGTCTTTTCATTCATAGTGCCTTTTTTGCTTTTTTAAGAATAAGCAGAAAAATATTTGAGTTATTTCTTATTATTATTGGTATTATTTAAATAAATATTGCATTTCTTTGATTGTTTTTGTAAAAAAAGTTTAAGCCACCTTAATTAGTTAATTCAGAAAACTAAAATTTTTTGTACATATATTAACTGTTAGTGATACTAGATACTGAAAGTAGGTTTATTTCATTAATAAAACTAGTTGTAAAGTCAGTTTATAAAGTGTACACCATGTACTTATTCTTGGAAAATAATTTTTTATGGTTATTTCTATTTAATAGTACCATTCATAGAGAACCAACTCGAAGAATTGGAAGTGGACGAATTGCAAATAGGGATAGAGATCATCCTGAGAGAGATTATGGATACAGTCGACGAGGTGGAGATCGTCGTGAGGAACGGGACAAAGAAGGAACTCGTTTCAGTGGACGCTTCGGAGAGAGAAGGTTTGGTCGAGGTAATTATGGAATAAATGTACAAGAAAATTTTTACTTTATAGTATTGTATTTAATATAACATTCATGTGCTATTGAAATTATTTTAAATATTAGAAAAATAAAGTTGGATATAAAAAATGCATGGAATATACCTAAAACATTAGTGATAATGCATCTAGAAAAACTAGCAATGAAATTATTTTGTTCATTTGAATTAAAAGCTTTTTTTGAGTTTATGATGAAAATGGTGGTAATAACTTGTGCCTTGTGTTTTAAAACAGTGAGATATATTTTCATGCTAAATGACTGATGCAAAAATTATGAAGATATTTTGAGATACATTTTTTTTACAATTTATTTTGTTTGCAAGTGGTTAGTTAATAGGATTTGCAGGCAATAAAAAATGAACTTGATAATGCTTAGTTTGGTAGCCATTTAACTAACATTTAAAACGAGTTAGGACTATATAATTATGATAAACTGTTAAGACTGACAAGATTAAATTTAACAATTTTAGCAGTTTAAAGTAAATATTTTTTCTATAATTTTAAAGTTTAAATGTATTTTATTTGATGAGACAAAAGTGTTGAAGCTTAGTTGTAAAAGAATTGTAACCAAGTAAAGCTCCATCTATAGTTTGGTAGAAGGTTAAACACAGCAGCTACTAAAATTTTCCTTAGCTTAAAAAAGAAATCATAAAAATTCATAAAATGAAGAATTAAAAAAAAGCATGTTGATATACAATGTATTTTTACTTTTCATTTTATGTTGAGTTCAAAAACAAGAAATAACTTAATCAGTACTGTTTTCTTCATATTTTCGTAATAAATATGTATATATGTTATGTCTAAACATCTCATTTGCAAAATGGAATAAAAAGTCCATTAACTATAATTTAACATTATTCTTTTAGGTCGTTCTGGAGTGTGCATTAAAGAAGAAGAAGAGCCAGAATGGTTCAGTGGTGGTCCAACTAGTCAATCTGAAACAATTGAACTTGTGGGATTTGAGGATTTAGAAAAGCCCAAAGCAAAATCTGAGGAAAAACACGAACATAATAAAGAAAAGCTCAAAGAAAGAGCTGAGGAAAAAGTATCTCACGATAATACATATAAACAGTCTGAAAATCAAATGGAATTACCTAATCATGAACAGTCTAGTGACAAAGGTAAATATTTGAATCCTATGGTGACATTAGTGATCTGAATATGGTAATTTATTTCACAATTTAAATTTTATTTTGTATTAGCATGTGTTTGAAATATATTTGACTTTGGGAAAGTACTAAAAAATAGATATAGAATTTTCACTCCCATCAAAGAAATTCAGTTTCATTACAGCATTTCCTGATGTTGTATTCAACTTATTTACCCTAGTTGTCTGTGTTTTTATGTTACTCTCTACATTGTTCCATGCAGACTGTTTTTCATAAGTAGGAGAAAAGCATGTAATGTTGTCTATACAGATTCAGTAAATGCTTTTCTGGTATTTAAAAATTTTGTAAATAACTGCATATATGTTGATAAGTATATTCAGGAAGGAAGATAAATTTTGATCTCAGTTTAGAGTCTGATTGTGCTGCACGTAGTTCACATTCACTGTGACTTAATTTGGATGATAGCAAATTGCTGCTAGCATATTTGAAATATAGCTTGATGATTATTAACTCTATATTACTGTGGGGTTTCTAAAAACACTCACCTCTTTTGTATTTCATTAGTAAAATTATCTAACCCTAACAGATTGGTACCTATAGCAGTCAGTAAAGATATTTTAATGCAGTTCTAAATTCAATATTTATAGAAATACTTTAGAATGTATGTTTTTATACATGTTGTAGTGCTTTTGAAGTAAAGTTTTTACATTTATGACCTACATAAGATGAACGAAAATCTTTTTTAGTGACACACAAAACAAAATTAAGTTTACTCCTTAAATCCGAGTAGACACTACCAGCTTCCACCCGAAAATTATGATTTTACCCATCGACAGTGACAGCATCTGATAACAATTATGTTTCTTTGGATAAAAACTAATCCAAAGTGTGTTGTTATCCAAAAAATTAAGAAAATTGAAGATTTATAGGAAATCATGGAAATAATTTCAGCAGAATGCTCAAAAAATTATGGATTTTTGAGTTAATACACCAAAAGTTAAAACAAGTTCAAGCATCATAATGTGTATAATTTTGCAATATATATTTCTGGTCAAGATCTGTTTATATCCAATAATTATAGTTTGTTTTCAATAAATAATGTGTTGATTGAATACAATAAACTAATAACAATATACAGGGTGTTCCAAAATTATGATTCCTATTTTAGAATTTAATAACTAATTAAGGAAATATAGCCATACAATTTTCAACATCTTGTAGCCCATCTAAAACAGTTTTTATTGACATGTCAGTAGACTTCTACGTGTGCACCATTAGTAGCTCTTAGCACTTCAACCAGTATTTGATTTCAGTCTACATTCACTGCAACTTGACCACAATTACAGTGGAAATGTCATTCCTTATCCTGGTCTTTAGTTCTGTGATGTTTGCCATAGGTGTGCAATACACGATATACTTAACCTACTCCTATACTTCTTTCTTGTACTGGCATCTGTAATTATGTTGCATCACAGTCACTGATTTGATTTCTGCAAGCTTAATGATGTATTAAGCTTTTTCTTGCACAGTTGCTATTTTACGGGGTAACACTACTCACTGGAGTAAAAACAAATATGACAGTAAATACTGTTTGAGTTGGGCTACAAGATGTTGAAAACTGCAAGGTTGTATTTCCTCAGTTATTTAATTATTCAATTTTAAAATAGGAAAGATGATTTTGGGCCACTCTGCATTATATGAATAAAAGGATTTGTGTCATCTAAATGGTTTGTTGTCGTAGATATTACTTATACTCGCTAAATTGAAATATCCTTACCTGTTGCCATAGTAGAATATACCTGTAGTATTCAGTCACATTAAAGCATAGAAACTTTTATCAGGAATGAAAAGAACATTAAATAATAAAGCAATTCCTATGCTTCAAATGAATTGGGAAATATTTCAAAACTTTGTCTTGAGGTTGCATCATTTTCTTTATTTATATCCAACATCTCCAATTTCAGAAACATAACTAATTATCAGATGTAACTATTGTACTTTTGATACAACTTATTAAAGCTTAGGATTCCTGTATGATGGTTATGAGTTATCTAGTACATATTTAATTCATGAAAAAATATATATATATAAGTAATGTATGATTTGAAAAGATAGGTTGTTCAAAACATATCACAGATATGACCTATTATGAATTAAAGATGAAAATGTGCTCCCAGGCGAAATGATGCCAGCATTATAGGTGATATGACAGCAGTTCCCGGACTGGTGGGGGCCAGATTTCTCCACATTTTGGCCATGTCTTAGGATTTCACGACAGATCTTCGAGTTCTGTTAGGAGGTCTCTGCCTTCAGTTCCAGTCTCCTCCTCCCCTTTTCCATTTCCCTATTTCCTTCCCACCTCCTCAGAATCCTTCATCTCTCTGTTGTCTTACCGAGGTTGCCCATGACCTGCTTCACAAAGAAGCTGTTGAGCAGGTTTGCCCCCATTTAACTGGGGTTTTATTCCTGACTCTTTGTGGTTCCCAAGAAGACAGGAGATTGGATACCTATAATTTATCTCCTGCAGGGGAGGATGGTTATGGTACACTCCGAGAACTCCGTTGTGGTCACTTGTATCACCAAGCAAAGAGCTAATAAATTTGGTCTCTTTTCTTTCAGACCCTGGATCTCCTTTTCTGGGCCCATAGTTACAACATTGTGGTCTTAGCTTGCCATGTTTCTGGTACCCTGAATCTGGTTATGGATTAATTATTTCATCCCAACAAGATTTTCCCATGGAGTGGTCCTTCAATCCTCAGGTCTTTTAGTGGATGTGTTCTCAGTTGGGAACACCTCATATCGATGCCTTTGTCACCCACTGGAACATCAAACTTCCTTCCTTTTGGTTTCATGTTCCACACTCTGGGAGTGGATGCATTCAGTCAAAATTGGAGGTATCTTCACATCTATGGTTACCCTGTTATTCAACTCCTCTCTGGAGTTCTTTCCTTAATCCAAACCACTTCATGTCTAGTCCTACTTGTGGTGCAATATTTGCCAGTGCAACCATGGATCCCTCTGCTCTGATCTTTACTTGTATCAGTTCCCCTACCCTTACCTCTGTCTCAGTCTCTACTCCATCAACCTTTGTTGGACATTGTTCATCCAAACATCACCACACTCCATGCATGACTTTTGCAACCATGGATCCCTCTGCTCCAAACTTTACTTGTACAACTTCCCCTACTCGTTATCTTTGTCTCAGTCTCTACTTTGTAAATCTCTGTTTGACATTGTTCACCTGGACTTCACCACACTCTGTCTTCATGTATGGCTTTTGTTGGGATCATTTCTTAACCCAGGTTGCATCTTTCCTTACCTGATCCATCAGACATTCTTCTATTTCTATCTATCAAAGGCAGTGGTCTACCTTCCATATTTAGTCTATTCTTTGTTGCTTCTGTCCTTCCAACCCTTCTGTTCCTCATCTTTTCCAATCTATCACCTGGTTGTTTGACAAAGGCTTGTCTACTTCGACCATGCTATTGGGCGGTTTTGTCAAACACCTTCCATTTCTCCTAGTTTCATAAGTTTTGTTTTCCCCTGTCATTTCCCTCCTTTTCCAATCCTTTGAGTCATGTCATTTCTTATTTCTTTGATTTGTCTGATTGAGATTTCAAAGTGGTCCTCTATGTTCTTTCCTGTATTCCCTTTGAACCTTTGTCTATGTGTTCCATGTACCATCTCTCCCTCAAGACCTATCTCCTTCTTCTCCCTTCTTGAGAATGTACTTGATCAGATATTTATGCCATTAATGTTACCTGCATTCTTTACTGTTCCTGTGGTGTTATCCTATATTCCAGCTAGTCCTTTCTCTCTAAGACACAAGCTTCCCTCAAAGGTGGTTTAGCTTTCACATCCATTTCCTCATCTTCCATCTCACACCTGTATTCCCATTCCAGTTCTGATTGGCTTCTTTGTCTGGTTCCCTCCTTAGGGTGTTATGTGGTACATGTTGCCTTCTTTTTGGGTTTACATTCCTAGCTTTTTATTCCCTGGAACCCTTATACTTCTCATGATCTGTTCACTTTCATGCTAACTGGTTGGATCCATCAACTCATTAGGCTGGTGTATTTGGACTTATCCATTGAAGGTCAGTGTCTCCGCAATGTTTCTTCTCATGAAAGTCATCATATCACCATGTCTATGGCTTCTCACATTCGGTCTTCTTTAGAGGAGATTGTTCATGCCAGAATGTGGACTACTATCAGCACCTTCATCACTCATTATCTGCATGATCAGGCTGTATCTTCCTCAGGTGGAAATAGTCTCCATAGTGTGTTGATTATACACTCATCTGTTTCCCTCTAACTGGGGTAAGTCTTATCTCTTCCTTTCATTTATGTTTTTATTTTCAACATCCCTTGTTTTGAACACTGATAATGGGATCCCACTCTGCAGTGGGTGTTGCCTGGTCCGGTATGGTTTGCCTCAAACCTGCACTATTTACTGATTGCACTATGATGCTCACTGTAGAGATGGAGTGTTCTGCAAGACCACTAGTGGCATGCATAACCAGTGGTATATATTAATGTTTCTAGGTATCCGTAAGTTTCACTCGATGGTGAACCATCACTCATGGATTTCATGAGTAAAGCAGAAGGGGAATTCTTCCCATCCCTGCTGACCCTTTGATTGAATAAATTGAGGTTGTTCTGCTTTTCAAAATAAAGAATTATGGACACCCATTGCACTTTCTCAGGTGTGACGTTCTTCTCAACTCCCCACTTCATTTACTTTCACCCTTTTTCTTCCAGTGGAGTACAGGAGTCTTTACCACTTCCCAGTTTTCAATCGCTTGTTTGGTGGACCATGGAGGCTTCCTTCTGAGTGAATCAAGAAATTTAATTTACGGTATATTTCCCCTGGATGTTTTTTTCTCAGGTGGACAGCTGTTGGTTGGAGCAGGTCCAGCTTACACCAGATTCTCCTTGTAATACCAGGTTTGGGATGACACTGCCCTGTTCTTACAGTTGTGTGCAGTAGAGGCCCCTATTCTCGTTCATTCTGGTTGAAGGAGGTTATTTCCCTGCTCCTACAGTTGAGCTTGGATTTGTCTGCCTCATAATACCAGCAAAAAGATGTACATACACTGTTCCTACGATTGAGTGAATATTCAATGTCCTCCTCATAATTCAGGATGTAGGATGTCTCTTCCCTGCATTTACAGTTAAGTGATATATGATTTGTGCTCTTAATATCAGTTAGAGATATTACCCAGTTGAGTTGAGGCAACATCATCACAACCCCATAATTTCCGGGCTCATTGATTGTACTTCTTGCTCCTATGGCAGTTTGTCCGGTTTCAGCCAAAAGCTAACTTCTTCCTCTTAATTCTGGTTGCTTGTTGTATGACACACTGTTTACTTATGGTTGGGACTGATGAGTATATGTAACATGGTCCACACTAGCCACTATGTTTATGTTACAGTATATTTGGTTTTATCTTCTTCTTCTTTTCTTTCTTTTTTTTTTTTTTAAATCTTCAACATCCTAATGCCGAGGATGAGTTATGCAACCTCATTTGTCTGGTTGAGGTTGTGTATGTACATAGCTAATTTGGTTTATATTTTACTATGGATTGCACTTCTCAGAACAAATTGCACTTGTGCACATATTTTTTTCCACCCATATCAGATGTAGTGTGGTACCCCACGAGTATGCTTCATTTTCATCTCAGAGCACACCCATTCATTCTGGGCTGTTGCTTTCTGCTTGGTTTCTATGTTGTGTGCCTAAGCTGGCCCCACTACTTTTGTAGTGTGGGATTCTAGCTTTGTGTGAAAGGAAGTAAAAATGCATCAGAAGTTAACATTTTCTTACACTGAAAATGTATTTCCAATACGTATGTACTTTGTCTCACACACTTCCCACCTTTCCTCCCCACTGCCAATATTCTCCTGTTAGAGCCTGCCAGTTCTCAAAAGTGAGGATTGAGCAGGAATAGCAGAGGGAGCTAGCTGCACCAATATTGATGGTGCAATAAAAAATGACACATAATTGAGGGGGTATATAGCCTAGTGCATTGAGCAAGAAAATTTTTTAGCAATGCTAAGAGATCAGAAAGAAAATCGAGATGGCCTTGTGGGGTCCTCTGCTGGGACCACAGTAAGTCTACGGATCTACAAAGCTAAAATCAGGGGTTTGATTCCCCTTAGTGGACACAGCAGATAGCCTGATGTGGTTTTGCTATAAGTAAAAACACACACAAGCTTTGTGTGAGAGGAAAGTAAGTAATAAAGGGACAAACTAATTTTATTTGAATAAGAATCAACCCTTACTGACTTGTGTATTTTTAAATGGTTTTGTCACATGCAAGTATGCATTCATGGGAAAATTGCAAGTATCAAAAATTCTGACTTGCATTGTTGAAAGTTATTTTGCAACTTGTGAGTGTGAAAGAGACAGCATAAAAAAAGTTATTCTATAGTCGGTTACATTCCATTGTGATCTATTCTATATCTGATATTCTTCTCTGATCTGTTCTCTATTCGATTTGTATTGTTATATTTGTTTAGTGTCTTTATAAAAAATTATGCTAATATTTACTAACATGTCAATTAGATGTATATTATGTATATATAAAAATGGGTAATAATTAGCTTTTAGGGTGACAAATACTGGGAAACACCTTAATTGAATATATTTTGAACACTTATTTAAACTTGTTTTGTCCATTGTATTATAAGACCCACGGTGTACATGGAAAGTTGATATATAAGATTGTTTTATGGTTTAAAACTAACTTTTAATATAGACACACACACACACACACACACACACACACACATAAGCTGGGTGAACACCATTTACTTAAAAATTTATTGTTGAATATCATACCATTAGGGTTTTTGAAATCAATAAGTTATTATTAGAAAAGAAAAAATATAGTTAATAATCTGTAGTTAAACTTTGCCTTACATACTCTTACAGAGGTCTGAATTGTGTGGATGTTTTCTTGCAGTTTTGTTATATTTTACTGGTTTTATTCTTGCATTAGCTCAGCCAGTAGTGGATGAATCTGAAGATTTTGAGCAGACTGAAAATGAAGAACCACCAAGAGATCCAAGCCCAGGATTTGACTTCAATGAAATATTCCAGATGGACCTTATTCCTGGCATAGTACCTGTATGTTAAGTTGAAACACCTCTATCCTGATGTTTTCTAACTTAGTTTTATATTGGAGCAACTTGTACTAAAATATTGGAACCTTTATATTAAATGCATGTCATTACTAATTTGTGTGTTTAATAACTTTTTTTTTACTTTTGTGCAATGGTGTGAAGCAAAGGTGTGTTTTAAGCCCTATGGAACAATCAAATATTATTTGAGGTGAAAGAAGAAAGAACTGGATTGTTTTAAAGCCAAAATTGATTGAATAAAGCAAATTAATTTGATAGCATGCTGTAATAATTAGAGTATGAAATAAAAACTGTGAGCTAAAAATATTTGTAATTCATAATAGAATGTTCAGAGGAATATTATAATAAATAATTAGGCTTACAAAATGCACATTACAAAAATTATTGGAAAGGTATTTAACTTGAATTAATTTTTTTAAGTTAGGTTTATATAAAGTTGGCTAGGAATTAAATGATGTGCATTGAAGAACTAAATATAAGCTTAGTATTTGCAGTTTTTTGCAGTTTTTATTTTTAATTGATCAATAGAATATACATATTAATATTTCTTGCTTATGAATACCATGTACTGGTTACAAATGTATAGTGATTGTGCAAGTAGCAAATATTCTGGCTTGCATTATTGAAGATTATTTTGCAATATGTGAGTGTGAAATAGACAACAAGAAAAATGTTATTCTGTTGTGATTTATTCCAGGTCTGTTATTATTATTACTAGTTTTGATTGTTTTTTTGTTGTTGAGCTGCTTACTACTACTACTATTTCTTTTCTGCTTGCTTGTTTGCATGTAGGTAACATAGTTTAAGAAACACTGGAGTAATTTATTATAAATAACACTAATTGTCCATCTCTAGTCCATATTTGGGCCAAAGGACTCTCTTATGATCCTGATGAAAATTGTTTGGATGAAAAGGTTGTGACAGGTTTCTATTTTTCTTATATGAGTTTACTATTTCTTTGTTGTTTTCAAAATGTGCAAATCCTTATTGTGCTGTTGATGAAATGACACATTGCAAAATCTTTGCTTCAGAAATGCTACTTGTCTCTACAAAGAACAGAAAGTTTATACCTTGTGGCACTTACAAAAAGTTTTTGTGACAACACCAAAGTCGTTGAATGAAACTCCCACACTACATGTATAAACATGTATTGTGCCAGTCTGGTGTGATCAACATTAGACTATACCAGTCTGCCTATAGGAAGGTGACTCATTCTCTGTGCACAGAACTACCCTTGAGCATTTTGTATATATCAAAAGCTCATTCTGTTCCTCAGCACTGCAGTTTTCAGTCATGTTCTTTTTTCATAAAGAAATATGAAATTTTGGTTCTTATTATTTTACACATGTAGTTAATACTTGAAGTGTTATCTTTCTTGCCTGTATTTTCTTGATTTTGAGAAAGAAAAATACAAATTATTTGATTGATTTGATTTAGAGCTTCTGATAAAAATTATTATTATCTTATACTTCTTTGATTTCTTCTCTTAATGAAATTGAGAATTTGAATGCATGTTCTAGAGTCTGTGATACAGTTCCTATCACAGGAATATTTCTCATCATTGTTAATGCAGTATTCATGTTTTGGCAGAAGCTGGTTAATTTCAGTTTTTTTTATACAAAAATGAGCAGGGTTTAAGTACCATGCATATGCCAGACCTATTGAAAATAAAACAAAAAGAAAACATTGAAGTAATAATATCAGTGCTTCTCATGAAGTGAGTTTCATCTGTCTTATTTAATACTTCTCATATCCACATTTTTGAAACCTCCAGGGATCCAAACTCTCTTCTTTTGATTTTTTTCTTATTTTCTTTAACCCTATGAATAGTGTTGGGTCAGAGTGCTCATGTCATGACTTTTTAACAGAGTTAGATTCAAATTTTAACTAAACTACTTTATCACTGCATGTTAACAAACTCAGCATCAAAATGTAGTTTTTAATTCAAATTTTTATATTATCTAGGTTTTGATATTTAGATAAATTCTCAATCTTGCATTCCAAATTGCCCATTTTAGGTTTTCTTTCTAACCTTGTTTGATTTTCTAATTGTCCATCTAACCCTATCGCAATGGATCATGTGTTGAAGGCCATGTCGTCGCATTTGTTGACTTGCATTCAAAATTTTATTGAACTACTATTTTATGAATCTATGTCAATAAGTTTGGTATAGAATTATAGATTATAATTCAAATTTTAGTATTATACATTAGTTAATTTCTTAATTTAAAAGTATACATTAAAAAAACACAGCTAAACATAGATTTTTATTTGTCACGTGGTATGATGAATGCAGCATTGGTTCAAATTACATGCATGTGAAGTCAAAATACAAAGTTTATAGTTTCATACAAATTAGGAACTCAAATTACTGATATTAACAAGTTAGAATATAAAACAAGAACCTCCCATCTTTTCTATTTGCTGAGATATTGCTCATGTACTGAATCAAATGCAGTGGCCCTGCTCATCTCTTTCCATTTTTGGAAATGGTCCCTTATATACACTTACTTCAATATATGACATGAATAACCAATCAAAAGTTCAGAATGTCCCCCTAGTGGATTTCTCAGCCATATTCAAGTGTTTGGATGCCACCTCTTTCTTTCGAACCAAGATTTCAATGAGGTAGCTTGTGTCTTTAGTTTGCTCAAAAAATTAATATTTTTTTAAACTGAAATACAGTTTAGTTACTAAACTTGATAAATTGGAATAGAATTCTGTGGTATAGTAAACTAATTTGATTTTTTGATTATTCAAATGTAGATATAAAACCTTATAAATTGTTTTTTGTTTCATAAACTCCATGTGCCAAATTTTAAAAGTTTTAACAACCTACATCAAGCAGCAACTAAGTACAAAGGTCGTAACTAGAAGAGTTAATTGTTTGCTTTACTTCTTTAGTTACTGTTCTATGTTTTAAGAAAAAAGCAAGTTTAAGAACTTATTTCTTAATAGCATTAATCTATATACATATATAATAATTGAAATGTGACTGTTTTTTACAAAATATTAGTCCACTAAAACATAGCTAAGACAGGTCACTTTGTAGAGACTAAAGGTCAGTTATATATTACGGTAACACAAGTGCACGAGTACCGCATCATTGAAAGTTCTGTATTGTTAGCCAGGCACAGCTGGAAGGTTAATATTAATAAAAATAATAAATATATATAAATGTATAATGTTATGAGATTGTAGCTATTAATAAAAAAACTTGTGTATTTGTGTTATAATTTGTAGTCATTCTAGAACGAAAAAAGCATAAATTATATTTTTTCCTAATTTTTTATTGAGGTTACTAGGTCAGTCAAACCGAACCAACCCGTAGAGAAATACAGTAGTGGAAATAAAAAATAAAAGTTTTTTTATACAAAACATTTGAGATTATAAAGATTTTTCCATGTGAAATTTGAAAATGTTCTAATGCATTAAAGTATTTTGAATAATAAAATATAATTTGCTTTGCATGTCGGACAGTCAACATTCTGAAAGAAAAAGGTTTATGAGAAAATCTTTAATTAAAAAATCTTAATACTTAATTTAAATTCCTCATATTTTGTATACGAAAACCTTGTAATCTGTAAAATTTTGTAAAGGTATACATACATTATCAAAAATTATGGTATAATTATTCTCATGGATACTTTCGTGTTTACAAGCTGGGTGGAATCCACCCAGCCCGTAATGGAAGAGCTTAAGTGTAAATACATATTATAGGTAGTGACAATTCAGAATGTAAATTTAGAATCTCTAATCCTTTTGCTTAACTGAGATGTAAACAAAAATGTAAAACCTACATTACATGTCCTTCCAGAATCATTCTGTCTTTCAAGAAGTGTCAACAATTCTGTTTGACGTTTATTTTGGATAGTTTATGACCAATGGAAAGAATAGCTTTTACTTTATAAAATTCCTTTTACAGGTTATTTCATTTTTATTCCCAGACTGCTCCCTCCTCCTCAAGACTTGGGCTGCTCAGAAGAATGATTGAATGTTTTCCCTAACCACCCTCCTTTCTCTTTCTTTCTGTACAATTGTTCAGGCTGCAATTATTTCCCATTGCCATTTTGGGCACTTAACTGTTATCTCACTTGCACTGCTCCCTTTCAAGGTAGTTGACATCATCTTTTTTTTTGCCATGGGATTCTTCTTTTTCTTTTTATGACTTATCTCCTTCTACCTTGACTGATTGGGTTAAACATTTTCTCCAGCTTGTTTATTTTTCTAGTGGAGATAATCCTTTTGTAGTTTTCAAGTCATTTTTCATCAAGTTCACCAGAGCTTCTCTTGCCTTACACCCTCGACTTCTTCTGGATGAGTTATTACAATCATGGATGTGGACAACCCCTGACACTTTAGTCTCATATTATTTACACTACATAGCAGTTTATTTTGTTTCCAGTATTCATTCTACAATCTTTCCAGAGATTCTAAAGAAATAGATAGTTGATTATGTCTTTTTATTGCAGCTTCCATAAAATAAAAAGGAAAAAGTACTGAAGACAATGGAATGAATTGTGTGGCCAGTGTTGCCTCACAGGGAATATTTATCTTTACAGACACCTGCATCAAGTAGGGGATAATGGAAAGTGTTAAGCCCATCTTCCCCTGCGCAGTGTTTATTGTTGAGATGGGGTTCTCTGCAAGACTGCTTCAGCATATTGTATATATATATATATATATATATTACCTTTGAAGTTATGATGCTACTTTCAAACAAAACAAAAACAGCATTGGGTGTGGCTCTCTGCCCTTACATCTGGCCAGCTTCTGCTCTCCCTGTTCATGTTAACCCATTACATGGTCTTTTATTGGAACCTTATGCTGTCCATATGCTTTTCTGGTGTTCTTCTCTATACAAATTCCTTCCACCCATTTTCTTCTAGTGGAGGGGATAACCCTTGCTTTGTCAATACCCAGATACTGGGATGGCAGTATGGAGGGTTTCCTTTCTGGTCAGTTTAAACCCAATGATAAGAAACTGAGTAGATGCAGCCCTTTACCAGAAGTAATTCAGGGGTGTCTACCTGAAAGTGTAATACCGACCTCTACCTACACTGGACCATTCTTGGTGAGTGTGGCTGAATAGACCTTGAATTCTCCTTAGGATACAGATCTGGGCTGATTCATCCCTGCACCTGCTTATTGATACCACTTGATATTTAGGTTGTTTTTCTTATCCCATGAGATATTCAGGATGGTTGAGTAGCCTTTACATTCTGCCCACCTTTACGACAATTTAGAACCGTGCAAGAGGCTGTTTTGATAATACTCTTCTGCACTATTACTTGTACTGGGAGTAAGAAGTGTCCTTTACTTGAGATTAATGTGGTGTTCTACCACTGAATAATTCTCCTACAAGGTCCACCCTACCCACATTGCTATTGGATGAAATACTCCATGAATTTCCCTATCTCTATATTCTCTGAAAAGAGCTCATCTTTTCAATTTCATTGTCTACATTATTCCCTTTAGCATCTTGTCAATGTGGGATTGTAGCTACCTGTTCTGTGGAAAGGTGAGTAACATTTCTGAAATTAACCTTTTCGTTACCTGAAAAGGTATTTCAGATATATACTTGCCTCTCCACAGAACCACTTGGCAAGAATGTGCTTTTGGTGTTCATAAAGTGTTTACTGGGATTACTATGCATGGAGGATGTGTCACCTCCTATTGATGAAGTGGTATAGTTTAATGCTGATTTCATCATAGACCAACACAGTATACCTTATTATATGTAGGGGTAAGAGTTTCGTTCAAAGGCCTGACACACATGCAACAACGTTTTAGCAGTGGCATGAAGTATTAGCTGTCTGTTATGTGGAGAAGTGATTATCTATTTAAGATGCATGTTCAGGTAGGGAAAATATTAACTTTTTCAAGTGTAGTAAAGGATAATATTTATACCATAAAAGCATAAGTGGACTTCTAATGAGAAATTAAATTGTAGCTGTTCTTTTAAAATGCTGATGACCAGAAAATAAGGGATGTTAAAAGCTTTGTAGTCTATTTTTCAGTTTTTCTAGAGATTCATTTGTAAGAACACATTACTAAATGCTGTTGTTCATGTATTACAAACATGACTTAATATAAGATGGGACATACAAAGAACCTGTTTTGATATAGCTTTATAAAACAGATATTTGTAGAGATAGAGATATCTTTCACTAATCAATAAAATAATGTTTTGTAAATTAATGTGATACTTTTATTATTTTCAGAATGGTGACACAGAAGAACCTAAACCCAATATCTTCATTGAAAACAGTAAATTCAGTAACTGGTTTCAGGATGTAAAAACCTCAATAGGGGATCAAGAGCCTGGGGGTGACAATCAGCAGTCTTCTTTCCAAGATGAATTGGTTGCAAACATGTTAAAAGGTTAAGTGTATTTTGGTTTCATATGGTAGTGATTAGCAGGCTTTATGTACAGCTGGCTAGGTTAACAAATTGTGCTAACATATAGATTGTTATCAGGTTTTCTGTGTATTAAACTGAGTAGATTATCTATTGTGTATTAATGTAGTAGTAGTTACTAGGTTTTTTGCATAGCCAAGTAATTTGTTAATGTGTTAACATGGTGATGGTTACCATGTTTTGTGTATAGTGATAACTGAAAACATATGTCCAGTTTGGTTTTGCTGTTTCATTGTTATTTAACATAATAAATGTGAGTAAAATTATCTTTCAAAAGTCAAATGTATATGTTATCAGGCTTTTCATAGGAAGTTTTAATATTGCACAACTTATACAGCAAATAGATGTCACTTTTCATTAGATGAAATATTAGCTGTTTCAAAAAATTCTTCATTCTTACTGTTATTTTGTTTTGTTTTTTACAGCTGTATAAAGATGAACAGTCATTGTTTCTCATAATCTGAGAAAATGTTATTAATGAAATACTTATTAACAGTTATACTGGAGGAAATTGTCATTTCTCAATTTTTTAACCCTGCTATGATCAGTGAGCACATTTAGTGTCAGGTGTACACCTGCATATCAAATGTCAAAATTTAGGTGAAAATAATAATTTTAACTATTTCCATAGTTTTTACCTCAGACATATTTTAGCTTTGATATTTTGTCATTTTGTAACATTTGTTTAGTGGGAAAATGTTTGGTTTTTCATTTCTATGCAGCTCCAAGGACTTTTGCCATTTAACATTCACATTCTGCACGTCACAACCTCTGCACAGAGTTACATTCAAAATTTAATTAAACTAATTTATTATTAGTGTATACAAATAAACTTGGCAACAAATCATATTTTAATATTATATAAGTTTTATATTATTAATTTTATAATGAAATATTTAAAAAAACCTCAATCTCACAGTAATATGAGAATTGTAACATTTGATCTCCAAGGTCTCCCGTCTTCTCTAATTTATTTACGACCCCTCTCGGAAGTACAGAATTTAATGTAAATTACTCATTATAATATAGTTATTACTCAGGTAAAGCAAAATTTTTATAGCCTTCAGTCTTATTTGTTTATGGATCCATAAACTAGAAAATTATACCCCTTATTGCCATTGCCTTTATGTTACGTCCTTTATTTCACAAACTGCCAATAGCTCTCAATGATTTTTTATACTATATTATTTATAACCAATTGAAAGCCAAGTTTTAATCAGTCAAGTGAAATAATATATATTGTTTTCTGTACAGAGAATCATCTATTTCACTTCCAGTTCAAACTTTATTCCCATGGGAAACACATCTATGAGCATGGCTGTATTTTTAATAGCTCTTATCACATAATCAGAAAGCCAAAAAAATTATGATAGTTATAGGACATTGTCTGCTTTTTATGTATTTCTAGGTGCATTATTTAATTAACCCTTCCACACAAGCTCTGTTGAATCAACCGAGTTTGTAATCATTTTGTAGTTGTTACAGTTTCCATACTATACATTTTAATACAGTATTTGTATCTTCACAACATTTAGCAGACATCCAGTAAACATTACAACTTTTATACAAAAAAAAATTAGATTTTTTTAAATTCAGTATTTCTAATAAAAATTTATCTGAATTTATCAAATAGTTTTGTGTACTAGTCTGAGTGCATAGTAATTTTCATCGTAAGATTAAAAATACATTTATTAATCTGAAAATTTCATTTGTGTAATTTCTAAAACCTCTTAATTAATCATAAAATGTTATTTTTCAGTAAAATGAATTTTATGGTGGGAATATTAATTTAGACATAGTTCATATGTCAATATAACAAAGTATAAATAGATGTATACTGTTATGAGCTTTAAGCTATTTAGGATAAACAATAGTGATTTCCTGTTACAATTTACACTCATTCTAGAAAGAAAAAAGATAATTTAGGATTTATTTCCTATTTTTTATGGTGGTTACGAGGTTGGTCAAATCGACCTACTCTATACAGATTTAGGGTAGAGAAAATAACCGATAGAATCTACAGTTTTTCTGAAAAATGTCATTTGATATTTATTTAGGAGGTTTTAGAGATTATATATATGAAATTCGACAGTTTTCAGATGAAGAAAAGTATTTTTAATTTTAATATGAAAATCAATTTACACTCAGAATAGTCAACACTTTGAGTGAGCTTGACTCCATATATTCACAGAGAAATTTTTAGCAAAAATACTTAAATAACAAATCTTATTTTTTAGATAACAAAAGACTTGTAATGTTTACTGAAAGCTTGCCAAATTTCTTGAAGATACACAAAACATATAAAAAGTTATAGTGTGCTTAATCTCATTGTTACTCATGGTTACTTTGGCAATTACATATTAGGTGCAATGCTCCTGGTTCATATGGAAAGTGTTAAGCAACACATTTATTGTTTTGGATTTTTTAAGAATTTTTCTGCCAATCCCAAAGTATATTTATATATCTGTTAAGAAGCTATCATCTCTTAAGAATATAATTAGCCTTATCTTGTTTCTCACATGATTTTCCTTTTGTGTTGGGGATTTTATTATTGCAATCCTTAATTGCCATGCTTTTATGATGTTGCAGCATGTGGTTTGAACAGTATTTAATGAAACTTTCAAAATGGCTTTAGCCAGTGTTTAACACATTTGCTGCAAAGCAATTTTAACCCATGTGGTAAACCAGTAACTTGCATTCTGTTCTTGTGTCAAAGAGACATCACAAACAGGCAGTTCAATTCCAGAAACTGTTCAGCAAACTTGTTTGTTTTTGTGACCACCATATTCACAACATCTTCTGTCACAAACAGTTTGAAAATGTTAACTGGAATGGTCTCTGGCAGCAAACCTGTAAGCACTTGAAGCTGTGCAGTAAAAGAAGTATCAGTTAGATTAATACATGTAGCCTGGAGAGTCTACCATCCATCAACTGATTCCAGCATTCCAGTGTCAGTGTTTGAATTGGCAGTGTCAGCTATGAATAAATCAACCTGAACATTTCCTTGATCTGTACATTCCAGGGATTTTTTGTAATCAGATGCAGAATCGCTAGGCTCATAATTACTATCCCTATCTACATTATCCTCCCCAAATGACTGGATCAGATTGACTGTTTAGCTGTAAGATCACACGTAATTATAGCCACTTTGCTGATTGACATGTTCATGCATCAATAGCACCTGACTAATACAAGTGATTGATATGTTAATATGTCATTAACCGCAAATGTGTTAAATATAGATACGTGCTTGCTGAGAGAATGTGGCTTTCAATGCAACTTTATTGTTATATCTTCTATAATAATAAAAGGGCATGCCTGTGTGTGTGTGTGACTGCCATAGCTCCAAAAGGAAAGAAGCTAGAAACCTGAACTTTTGCACCCATACTAAGTGGACTCTGAGGGTGTGCACTTGGGTTATATTACTTATCTACATGCATGTGCATCTTTTTATGAGGCAAGCTAGCAAGCAACTACATTGAAAAGAAGTGGTTCCTTATATAACAACTTCTAATATATATATATATATATAAAGCCAATAAGTTTTGGTAACAATTTATTCCAACAATGGCTTTTATGTCATGTTGCTTAGCAACTAATATTGTTTTTAGTTTATATACTGAACGTATAAAATGAAGTATATAAACTACAAAATTGAAAAAATTGTTTATTTCTTTATTTAGAGATAATTGATTAAAGAGGTTTGAAGAATACACACAATGACACAAGTCATGTATAATTTATCAACCTAAATAATCTGAACAAATAGAAATCAGACAGACACTTGCATACATGCATCTGCACATGTCTGTGTGTGTGTGTGTGAGACCACCATAGCTCCAAGAGGAAAAAACCTAGAAACCTGAAATTTTGCACCCATACTAAGTGAACCCTGAGGGTGTGTACCTGAGTATAACCTATCCACATATGTGTGCACATGCATGTGTGCATCTTTTTAATGAGACAAGCTAGCATAAAACCACATAGAAAAGAAGTGGTTCCTTATATAATAACTTCTAATATATATAGAAAAGCCAGTACGTTTTGGTAACAATGCATTCCAGCAATGGTTTTGTCATGTTGCTTAGCAACAACAGTATGTAGGGTATACTTTTATGCTAAAATGGGTTCAGAATACACATACTATAAACCTAATAACCCGAGTTAATCTGTTTTAATTTTTTGATCAGTTGGCACATTTTCCTGAGTAGTTTATGAATCAAAGATGTTTTTTTTTAATGTTTAATGAGGATTTCATAAATAAGTAAATATTACCAAACAACTTTGTAAAATAAATGTTTTTTTATTTAATCCATTTAATTTCTTACTCTAGGTATAGATGATTCTCATTCACTCATCCAGTTCTCTCCTCCAGCAAATGCTTCAGATACCTCTTTCCTAACTACAAATCCTTCATTGCCACAAAGTTTGTTTCAAGCAGATCATCTGCAGCTTAATTTATCTCCTCAGCATAAGCAGTCCAAACCAACAGAAGAGAAAAATATTCTGGACATTCTGAAGAATGCCAACATTAATGTTCAGCCATTGCTTAATGGTGATACCCTAGAAACAGCTGATTTGAAAGAAAAAGGTAAAAGTTTTTTGTTTCCGCAAACGTTACTATAGAAAATATGGTTACATGCGTATTACTTTTAGCAGATAGGTACATGCATATGTTGTGGAAAGAAAACTTTTTACTAGAGAACATCAATTTCTGATACAGTACTTACCTCAACTCACAAGATTAGCTATTTTCATTCAGTGCTGATCTCTATATGTGAACTTTTCTTTAGGCATGCCACAATCCTTTCACACCCCGACCCCATTGTAATCACTATATTCCAACATGTGTCTCATGCAAATCATCATGTTTCATCTTTTAACCTAACCTAACCTTCACTTCTCATTTGGCAATGTTTGAGTTCAGATGTCTTCTTTTGTGTGCTTAGTGCTTTCTGTTGAGAAACATTTTTTTTTCTCTCGCATGAAGTGGTTTATTTTTTATTTTAATTGATACCAGTTCATTCTTGTCTATATATTTCTGCACTCGACAATTTGTGAACTTTTTCTTGAGTTGTGAATTCTGAAGTTCACGTTACAACTTCGGGGGTCACACCAACGACCAGTGTTTTTTCTCAGCCCTCAGGTGTGGGTGACCCAAGGCAGATCTCACTGCTTTTATACGTTGGGAGATTGAATGCTACATAGGTTAATCTTTTTCCCCTGATATTGCCCAGGCTCCTCCTGAGTCGGTTGAATTTATTCAGAATGACGAGGATTTTGATCGTCTTTTCTCGCCTCCAGAGTTTGCCATTCCTTCCCAATTACAATCTGAGGATACACCTAGGCCAAATTCGGCCTTCACAGATTTCATGTCTCAGTTTTGTAAAGTTTTATCCCTTTCCCCTATCTTTAATTCACCTTGTCCTTCCTTGTTACATGAAACATCTTCTCAACCATTTTTGGTAATTCTGTCCTCCCCAGATATTTGGGTACATGCTGATCAGTATGCTCTTTCTTACCATCGTGCCACTATCCTTTTTTAGATCTGCTGTTGTTGGGTTCATTGTTACCTATTTGGGGGTGGCTCTCGACTCTAATGTTAGTCTTACCAACTTTTTAAGGAATTTTTTTTTATCCATACATCTACTATCGGAGGTTCTCCACAGAAATCCTATGGGGTTTTCTGCTAACACCCTCCACCTTCTCTCCTCCTCATGGCATACCCAGAAATCGGTTTGGGTTTTAATCTCCGATTCTTGGGTTTGAAGGGAAGACAGTATCATCCTCATCCTACCCTCATGTGGATGTTGGTACCCCGCGAGGAGGTTTTGGATGTAGTTGACTTACTGAGTATGGTCTGCTTCACCCTAGCCACTCTGCACCTCACAATTTCCACCCTTGTGCATTACACAATCTACACGTGGGCAAAGAGTATACCTGGATCAGAAGTGGTGTGGTTCTCCTTTTTTGATCATCAGATCAACATCTCTCATGGTCAGAGGTATCTATCGGATGCTTTCGGGGGGGGGGGTACTTCTTTCATTCACTCGCACCTGTCCCTTCACTTTCTCAATGTAGGATTCTAGCTAATCTTGTGAGAGGAGGTAAATACCATATCAGAAGTTATGAATAAAAACCCTTTTACCCGAGCACTTTTGAAAGGTGGGTATTTCTTCTTCTGGGGTAAACTGGGAAGTATCAGATGTTATAATTTTCCTATATTGAAAATGTATTTCCATTAGGTACTTGCCTCCTCTCACACTTCCCACCCTTCTTCCCCACTTCTCTGGTGCTCACACCTTCTGCCAAACTTTGAAATGAAGGTTCATTAGAGGAGTGTATAGGGAGTCGCATGCACCAGGTGAGCATGTCATGCTACTGTTGGTTAAGAAATGATGCATGATGATTTGCATGAGAGACATGTTGGAATATAGTAATTCCTAAAAGGGAGAGAGTGCAAGGCTTGTGGCATGTGTAAAGAGAAGTTTGCATATATAGAGCAGCAATGGACAAGAATAGCTAATCTAGTGAGAGGAGGTAAGTACCTGTTGGAAATACATTTTCAGTATAGGAAAATTATAGTATCAGTTATTCCATACAAACTCATCAATGCTATTTGTTTATTTCACACTACCTTTGTAATGCTAAAAAATGTCAAAATGTAGTCATAATACATGGTATTCCACCATAATTATGTTGTCTATGAATGTGACATGACTGGCTGATCTGCATATTCAAAATTATTTTAATATAATTTAGTAAACCCTCTGTGATCCTTCATTTATGAATCTTCGGTCTAATAGAGGTAACCTGAGATAATAACTATAAAAGTAATTTACACTTCATAAACAAACATAAAAGTCAGTCTTATTAAATTGATGACGTTCAACAGCTGGTGTTTTTAATACAAGATGTGTGTGTGTTCCTTAGTTAATTATGTACCATTTGTTTAATCTTATATATCATCTGGTTTTATTTATGGAATTTTATATTGAAACTAACTAATATGTAGATTGTTTGTTTTAGAGCTAGCTCAAAAGGCCATAAGCGTGGAAGAAATTGAAGCTGATTTAAAGCAATTAGTCTTAGGAGGTAAAGAACAGAAAGAAACAAGTCCATTGAATAAATTGGTAAGTTCCTTTAGCAGGTTTGGTTTGAAATTACTGTTCATTTGAAGACTGGCCACAGAGATATGTGGCTTCTATAGAGTTATTCATTAAAAGTAGGACTGACCTGTGGCAACTAAGATGTGTAGAAGTTGCTGAAACTTTACTGTTTTCCACATATTAAAATTTACATTAATCTTGATCAATAAAGAAAAAATGCTTGTTTATTCCAGAAGTTTCTTCTCATGGGTTTATTTTTAATGTTGGGAAGACCAGTCTTTCATGGTTATTGTTTTTAGTCAATTAAAAAATAAAAGTAAAAACTTAATATGTTTAATTTTAATATCATGAAAAATGTCTGAAAGTTATTATATAACCAGTTATAAAAGTTTGGTTAAGGTTCTTTTTTATATTGTTATACGAAGTAGGATTATTGTTAAGTGTGTGTAATGGTGTCTAATACATTGTTGCATCCTTATGAAATGGGAAAAAATATACAATATTGGAAATTAGTGAGCACAAGAAATAATTCAACAACTTTAAGGCTAATGTTTCATCTAGTTTTTAAATTTATTCACCAAAATAGTTAACAACTACTCAATGTGAAAGGTAAATAAAACCTCTTTGAGAACATATATATGTACTATTGTTATGTACATTAACTCTAAGTTTACCTGGGTGTACCCAAGTAGCCTCTCATCTAACCAACAAAACAACGTCAATATAAAAAATACTTTTTTTCCATCTTATAGGTTCCAAGTTTCATTTTCATATCCCCTAGAACTTCCTAAGTGATTTTAAAACTTTTTTTTATTTGAATTAAATGTTTATATATATATATATATA